CGAACCTGGGGGGGACAGAGCTTTCTCCATCGCTGCCCCCTCCCTCTGAAACTCACTCCCATTAAACATCAGAGACTGCACAGAGCCCCCCACTTTCAAAACACACCTCTTCAGACTGGCTTTTAATGTGGGAATAATGTTGTGTTGCTGTTTTAATATTTTAATTCAACTTTTTACATTTTATTTTATTTCCTTTTTATCACCGCATCGCATTTGCGGCTCAGTTGAGGCCCCCTCCACGAGGTGAGGGCGTGAGACCCCACCCAGTCTGTGTGATCTGCGTGTAGGGAGGGGCGGCCCGGTTCTATACTATATCTATATTATGTCAAGAGTTACATTTAGGTGCACAATGCTAGCTACGTAAATATGACGCTCTATGTATAAAAACAAAACAAAACTTACCTTCTTATATCTTTCTCCACTTAAATGAACTTTCTTTCCTCTTGTTCGTTCTCTCTATGTCTGGTCATACATCAATCTGTTCCACGCGGTTCCACGTAGCGCGCCCCCTAGAGGCCTGGAACACTTCCGGAATGTTTTTTTTTGTAATGTCTTTTTTTTTTGTAATGTGTTTTTCGATTGTATGTGCTTTTGACTTTGCATATCGTTTTTGTATTTGCAGCGTTTTTCTGTTGCGTTTGTTTTCGGGGTTTGTGTGTTGTAGGTTTAGCTTGCATCATTTCTGTAAATGCAGCGTTTTTCTTTTGTATTTGTTTTCAGGGTTTGTTGGTTTTTCATTTCATTATTTGCAGGTGTTTCCTGCTTATGTGTGTGTTTTTGGCCGGTGTTTAGCGTTTGCACCTGCCGGCCACCGTAGAGAGGCCATTGGAAAACAACATCTATTTTTCTAGTAATTACTTATTTTAAAGAGATTGCAACATTAGACTTTAAAGAATTGCTCAATTCATTTAACACATTTATTATGCACACAATAAAAAATTTCAACAAATATATAGATCCTGGCTTACCCAGCGACCTTTACTCTTTTTTTCATAAGCTTGATTTCAGAAAACTTGTCAGTGGTTTAACAACTATTTGAATTTTTGTAATGTCTATGGAGACCAATTGGTTGATACGAGAAATAATTTGAAGCAGTTTAATAAAGAATGTTTAAACTATATTCAAAACTGTAATTAAGCTTCAATTTAAATTAATGATCTGAATCCAGTGGCCAGTTGGAACAGATAATCAACAATGTTTCCATTTTGCAGCAACAGCGCAAAAATGTTTCTACAATAATTCGTATTATGTCTGAGTCTAGTTCTGTCTTATCAGCTTTGTTTCGGAATGTGTTCAATACATAAAGTTTATTTTATTTTCTTATTACCATATAATACATAGATTAAGAATACATGAAACAAATAATACAAAATTGACCTAAAAGAGCAGACAGATTTTGCAACCCTGACCTCCTCAGGCAGGTCTTTACAACCAGCAGTGATACCTCTGAAGGTCTCAGGGTTTATAAAAGGCCACAAACATATCTTAACATAACAAGAATACCATTTTAAAATAGATTCTTAAACCATACAGCGCACCTCCTGAACAGTGTCCTTCTTGTTTACATTTGTCTCTGCACACTCAGATGCAGGACAAAAAAAAAACTATTTTGCTATTTCTTTTCATTTTGCAGCACATTTATACTACCAGAATTTTGCTTTACATCTTTATATTATTTGTTTGTCTTAAAGGTCCCATGTCATGGCCATTTCTACTGATCATAATTCCATTGTTGAGTTCTACTAGGATAGATTTAAATGGTGCAATTTTCCAAACTCACATTGGTTTCTCATACAGCATCTCTGTAAAGTATGTGTATTCACCAGATATTCAATCTCTGTCCTAAACGGCTTGTTGGAGCTCCTGCCCTTCTCTCCTAAATGTATTCTTCTATAGATTATATTTTAGCCAAACCATTATCCTTTTTTTTTTTCTTTTTTTTTTTTAAACCTATACCCAAATAGTGCTTAAACTTGAACAATTTTTTGTCTCTTTTTCAGTTCTACCTCCAACTGGGTGTCCAGCAGGCTTCTTGAAATGTCGGGCGACATACTGCATCGGCTCATCGTTGACCTCATCCCATCTTCTCTTCCGTCCACCAGCGACACAGTCCTCGCCTCCCAGGTCCCCATTCTGTTCCGAGAGCCCTTCATCCTGTCGGGCTACCGTCCCATCCAGCAGAACTGGCTCTGTTACCTCCAAAGCCTCTTCCAAAAACACAATGAAACCCTAAATGTTTGGACACACTTATTGTTCTGTCCTGTGCTGCTACTCCGCTGGTGGGCCAATATAGGCGCCCTGGGATACACCTTAGACGCAGCATGTCTACCTCTGATCCTCTACCTGCTGTCTGCCTTCGCCTATCTGTTGTTAAGTGTGGCAGCTCACCTCTTCCAATCTCACTCTGAACATGCCCATTATTTCTTCTTCTTCATGGACTATGTGGGTATAGCAGTGCATCAGTATGGTAGCGCACTTGGCCATTATTTCTACACGTCAGAGCCAGCGTGGAGAGAAAGCTCCATCGGGCCGCTGTATCTTCCTGGAACCGCCTTCTTTGGGTGGCTCTCGTGTGGAGGCTGCTGTTTTGCTAAGTCCAGGTACCAACGGCCTTATCCAATACAGCGTAAAATCTGCCAGCTGATCCCTAACTCCCTGTCATATTTTCTATGCATTAGCCCCGTAGTCCATCGCCTGTTCACCGTCTCCTGGACGCAGGAGCCCTGCTTACACTTCTACACTCTTCAGATTGCCCTTTTCCTTCTATCCGCCCTCTTCTTCTCATGTCACATCCCCGAATGCTACTTCCCGGGCCGTTGTGACTTTGTGGGCCAGGCTCACCAGATCTTCCACGTGTTGTTGGGCCTGAGCACCGTGTTCCAGCTGGAAGCACTTTCCCAGGACTACGCCAGGCGGAGGGATACAGTTGTGGAGGTGTTTGGAGAGAAGCAGCTGTGGTGGGCTTGTGTATCTCTTGCCACCCTCTTCATGTCTTCCATTCTAATAGCACTCATCTCAATGTGGTACATGACAAAGAAACTGCAGGGAACAGAAGAAAGAGACAAGTGAAATAGGGGTTTGTTTTAAATGTACCAAATGATATATATAAAAGAAAATACTTTCATAAATCCAACTGTATAGGTTTTTATTCAAAGAAGCTGTTCACCCCCAAATGAAAAATACAAATTCTTGCTCTATGTGTTCATCTAGATTGTTTTTTGTTTGAGGTCCTTGAGATATTTGTTTTAGAGATGTCTGCCTCCACTACAATATCATTGAAGTAGTTGGCACTGGGTTTGTGGTGTTGAAAGAGCCAAACAAATTCATTATACAAACTCCATAGCAATGTTAGTTTCCAGAAATGAGGATCCGGGTACTAAAGATAATCCACAGACCTTGTTGTGAGCAGTTTCATGTAGGAACCTTTTTATTTATTTGTCTGTGGTACATTACAACATTACAAGGTAATCTGAAATGACAAAACATCTGATTGCTGATTCAACAAAGAAAGAGTAAGCGTATTGCTCCCCATAGATTGCTGACTCAGTTAAGTTTTTCACAATGAGTCATCCTCCCACCTAATTGCTTCTGATGACAGGTTTGATGGGAATGCTGATGAAGGGCATTGGTCTCGTGGATTAGTCAGAGAGTAGGATTTCAGAATCATGAACAGGTTTATTGTCACAAAGTCCGATGCCTGAAATAAGGTCTGTCGTTAACAAAAACTTCAGAGATTTTCACGTTTTGTTCTGCCACCTTAAATAAGACTACCAAAAGACGCCACCCCGAACACGGGTCTGCTGTTTGCTTAGCTGTGGCGATGCAAAGCCATGCAACCATGCTGTAGTTTGTTTATAGCATAAGGTTAGCTTCAAAATTCCTAAAAGTCCTGTTAATATGTGGAGATTGCTGTTGAAAAATACCATTGCTTTTTGTCTAGGGAGCCTTGCGTTGCTAACTTCTAAGTCGCCCATGATTCCTGCAGACTTCCTTTCAGTGAAAGTGTGGCTATTGATTTAGCTTTTTGCCGCTGAGCAAATATAAAACAGTTCTCAGAAAGGGAACAAATAAATATAGCTGAGAGTTATAGATTGCCTTATCTGCAGGGCTTCAGAAGATCAGTATGACAGAATGGAGATATTAAACAGGTATTGGGTGATGTTGTTACTTGGTGTCAGTGTCATTACTAACAAAAATATGTGTTTGTGTGATTTTTTGAATTTTCGAGTCGTGGCTGAACCTATCACTGTGGTCCTGCCTGACTCTCATCATACTACTTCCTTGATGGCTCCCACATGATTGTTGACATCCTCGTGGATCCATCTTCTTATTATAGACACATGTATTTCCAAACATTTGGACTACCTATGTTGTAAATGTATTATCTTTTCGATTTACACACGGCATCTATTGCACGTCTGTCCGTCCTGGGAGAGGGATCCCTCCTCTGTTACTCTCCCTGAGGTTTCTCCCATGTCCCCCTTTAAACTGTGGGTTTTCTCTGGAAGTTTTTCCTTGTACGATGTGAGGGTCTAAGGACAGAGGGTGTCGTATTGTCATACTGATATACTGTACAAACTGTGAAGTCTGTAATTCAACATTTGTGATATTGGGCTATATAAATAAACATTGATTGATTGATTGATTGATTGATTGATTGATTGATTGATTGATTGAAAACAGAAATCTATTCCCATCAATAAATAATAATTTTACAAACTTTTTTGTAAATGTAAAAAAAAGTATTTTACAGTTTATGTATAGGCCTACTGTGTGTATGAAAGGCGAGTAATTATTCTGGTACAACCTGTATGTAAAATTACATTGGTCTTACCCTAACCCTTGGGATTGTTTAAGATCATTTCCAGACCAAGTAGTTAAAATAAGACTTCAGGTGCGACATCAATATGTTACAGGATTAGCTGGGATTACCCACACAACTGACAATGCAATTTGCCAGCCTCACCCAAACAAAAATGTCCTTGTATGACAAGACTAGGCATAACAGTATTCCATTTTGTGTTGGATTTTCATTCATTTGCTTACAAACAATTAATCCTTAATGTCACCTATATAGGGATAACTTTGCATTAACACTATAAATTAAACAATTGGTTTCATGATTTACAGTAAACCCAGACCTTTTAAAAGTGATCAGATTAAATATTTGTTCAGAACTCAAACTCTGAAGTTTGGTATTCCATGTTTCCTTGGTCTACATCCGACCCTAACCCTAACCTTGTCTGCTTCAAAAGAAGGTACATTTTCTTCTGCAATGTACCTTGTGAGTATTTTCCAATCTATTTAGACCTTTGGAGTCCTGGGCTAATTTGGCCGTTTTCGCATACTTTTGATTTGTCTTACTAAACCCCATTAAGAAATGTTTGGCATGTCAATGTTTGGTATCTTTTTTTTAAGGATAACCTCACCTATATAACCTGATAGTTATGTCTTTCATTTTGAGATACTATATGAACATTTTGGACCAAAAATCACAAAGAAACGTAAAAACAGATTTTGAAAATTATATTATTTTTCATATAGGTAACACAAACATACACAACGAAACCATTTGAAAGCTGGAAATAGATGCATGGGATGTCACTATGATAATGTGAAAGTTTGATTGAGGTAGCATGAACCTATATAAACATTTTATGAATAAATAACAGGTGTATCCATAGGCTTTTTTTCCTCATTTCTCAAGTTCTGTCAACAGTGACACAGTAGGCACAACAAAACATTTAAAAGCTTAACCCTTCGGTATCACTCGATTGGACTACGCAAATTAGTCATTCGAGACAAAAATGTCCACTACAAAATACTTTGATAAAAACACAACTTTCTCAACTCAATCTTTAAAGCAACTAATATAAAATACCAAAAATGTAATAATTTTCTGGATTTTAACCCTTTAAATGCCATTTTAAAAACATAAACCGCTGGTTTTTTTCATGATGAAAACAGAGAAAATTAGTTATTTTCCAAAAAATACATATCTGGTGACTGGCTCTTTTTTTTTATAACAGTCTTGGATATGTCAAAGATTAGCAGCAAAATTGATTTTTTTGCATTATTAGTTTTTGCACAAAATCAGATTGCACAAAAAAGTTACATATTATTCATTCGGGACAAAAATGTCCACTTCCAAAAACTGCTCTAAAATGACAACAGATTAATATTTTTAAAAACTTTTTGGGGTTAAATCTTTCAATCAACTTCAGTCCTGATCAAAAATACCAAATGTTAAATTATGTTCAGGATTTTAACCCTTGAACTGCCAGTTTGAAAACATGAATTTGCGTTTTCTATGAAAAACATGCACAAAAAGGCAGTTATTTTCCATATAATAAATGTTGGGGGGGGTCGGCTTTTTTTTTTTTATCACAGTCTTGGATATGTCAAAGATTAGCAACAACATTGATTTTGGTTGATTATTAGTTTTTGCACAGAATCAGATTAAACAAAAAACTCACACATTAGCCACTCGTGTCCCATCCACTCCCATTATAACCACATCTTTTGATCTCTCCGCCATACCGGTATAAAATCATGCATTTTTTAATGTCAGGGTTTTATATTGGAGGAAAATAGTTCAATTTGTCCTTTTTACTGTATATCACCAGATGTGACATTTTACCATTGAATTACATGCTTGTCATTTCTTGGTTTCTTTGCCTGTTGTATAATGGGGCCCTGACAGCCATTGGAATACATGCATGCAACTAATATGATGTAGGTGTGTTGGTATGGATGTGGAAGAGTGGTATCAGCTGAGAAATGTGTGTGTTTGTGTGTGTGTGCGTGTCTGGATGTACAGTGTGTGTGTACAGAGACAACAATATACAGTAGATTTGGTTTACAGCAAGTCGCAGTTTTCACCTCATATCTTTCTTTCTTTCTCTCTCTCTTTTTCTCTCACTCCCTCATTCCCAAACTCATACACACTCGTACATATTAAACCTCCTTATACCTTGTATGTGTGTGAGTGACTGTGTGTGAGAATGAGACAGGAGTAAGTGTGCTCTCCTTGTGTTTTGTTTTTCATTTGTGCTGTTTCATGTGTCTTTGAGGTAAACAGATGTATGATCTTGACCCAGCTTGACCTCAATGTTTTGAATGGTTTGGGTCTTTTTGCATGAAACGAAGACTGGGATATAGTTTCAAGCCAGTACTTTCAACAGAAACACACGGCAATGTTGTCCGGACTGTTGTTTTTATGCGGCACCGGCTTGAACAGGTCATGTGATCTGATCACGCCGGCGTGACGGTCGACTCCAAAGGGCTAACTGGGTATTTAGTGAGTATGTAACTGCTAGGCAACATGCTTTTAAACATATGAACAAATGAAACTGGCTTTATAAAACCATACATTCATACTGTAAAGCATCATTGGCTGAAATGCAACTGTATTTGAGATCTTGTGATAAATATTGTATGTCATACCTCAGTAATTGAACACAACAAAAACGACTTCATATTTATAGTGTGTAACGCTACAAATATGAAATTGCCAACTTTCTGCAGTCTTGTAAGCAGCTGCTAGAGGGAGGTATTGTTTCAATGAGTGTGTGTGTGCCTTATCAACATCGCCTTGGCAACAACGTGCACACAGAAATGAAAAGTGGTCGGCTCAGCTCTCTGTACAATATTTCTAGAAGGAAAAAAAATGCATTCTCAAATACATGGAGGCTGCAGCCATCTCAGGTGCAGGTGTGACTTTGTGCTGACATATAACACAATGGCTTGTGTCAGCACCTCCTTCAGAGACACAGACATGACACTAAAGAAGTGAGTCCCTCCCTAATTTACCTGGCTGCTTTGAGCCATATAAAGCAAAGGCAGTTCATTGACTGACAGCAGTTGGAGGTACAGCAGAGTCAGGCAGCCTACAATGTAAGTAACAAACCCTGTGTTTCTTTATTGCTGGACATCAATGTAGGAGATTGACTGGACATTTTCCGATTGTGTCAAAACAATACTGTATTATATCCATTTTGGATTCTCATACATTTTTCTTTGGCTGTGTGCCTTCTTTTATTTCCCCAATATTTACAGAACACCAGCACAATGCTTGCTTCAACGGGAATGGCTGATATGTTGGGTTGGGTTTCCTCCCCGGAGGTGGGCATCATCTCCCTCGTTGTCTTCTTCATCATCGGTGTCGCTCTCCTCGGCCTTTGTGCCAGGTGTCAAAGGTGAGGGAAACGTAATGATTAAAGGTGGCATTATTTTTGAGGTTTTAAGACAAGCACAAACACGTATTTGACCATTTGCGCACGTCTATGCTGTCACTCAAGGGAGCTAAAATAATTAAAGACATTGCACCTAACGTATGAGTGGAGATCAAATTGCCACCCAGTATAAAACAAGTCTATTCCTGTTTGGAGTCACAATACAGGGCTGAGTAGTTTTCTCTGTCCCCAAGGCTTTGATTGATATACATCACTTTTCAGCAGCACAGAGCAGAGACTTGTTTGACTCGATATGTGACGTTTGATGAAGGGTGTTGCCTGTTAAAGTGCCGGAAGCAGAAAACTGTAGTCAGATATAATTTTTGAGATCGTTGAAACATATTGGCTGGGCTCAGATCATTCCCTTTTATTACCTGATGTCCCCCATGAGATGTGAGTGTGTGTGTGTGTGTGTGTGTGTGTGTGTGTGTGTGTGTGTGTGTGTGTGTGTGTGTGTGTGTGTGTGTGTGTGTGTGTGTGTGTGTGTGTGTGTGTGTGTGTGTGTGTGTGTGTGTGTGTGTGTGTGCACGTGCATGTGTGTTTGCACACTCATTATCAAGCCATACCAAACATACCAGTGACGGTGACACAGAGGAAGGGTGAGGTTAAACAATAGTCTCATCTACTGCAGTTTCTGTACATACCTGAGCTGGTTGGTCACTCAAAGGGCTGAACCCGTAATGTAGTGACAGGTGGGTTTCATAGGTCATGTGATTTTTTTGTCTATTTCAAGGTGGGGATCACACTGGTGCCAATGTGTGTGAACTGAGCTGAAACAAAGAACAGATGCTTTTCTAAGTTAAATAAATACTTCAAAGAGAATTAAAAGGAGACTTTATGGGACAGTGCGGTCTCATGTTAAACTGATGAGCGCTTCAAATGTTGGGTATTATGTTGCAGAAGGATATCCACCATTATAAATGTAAAAGCTTAGATTAGTTCAATGGAAAATATTTGGGAAACGCACTGAACTGTTTATTTTTTTATTTTAAGTGGAACTTAAAGGTAGGGTATAGGTAAGAATGGAGAAAGCAGCTTGAGTGCGCTAGAATTTGAAAGTACGCAGCCGAAAAAAATCTGCCTCTTCCTTCAGACTTCCTTACAGAGCCCCTCGTCCTCCAACACACACGAACGTGCACATGACCNCAATATCTGCCGCGGGCCGAGGCAGATAATTGGTCGTGCTTTTTACAGCGCCACGGCTTCCACAGATGAAATATTTGTATATATTTATTGTCAAAGCATTTAATGTATTCATTGCTATCGGGATGTTAACAGCATTCAATGGAATATAACAAAAAGTGTTTCTGAAGTGAATTACCTACCTTTAAGCAATTCATTATCGAGTGAAATCTTGCTCAAGTCACAAGTTTTTGCCAAAGCATATTTCAAGTCTTGCCCGTAGTGATGGGAATTATGGCTCTTTGAAGGGAGCCAGATCTTATGGCTCCGTTCCTTTGCGAGAGCCGTTCAAAAGAGCCGTTTTTTTTAAAGGGGGCGGGGTTAATAGGTTTATCTGCGATATATACCTTTTATAATACAATCAAATGTAGCCCTGTTTTGACTAATGATTTATATGTGTACACATATATCATTTAAATTATACATCCTTTGTACTGAAGTATTGAAAAGTAAAAATACAAATGTTTATATAAATGATTTGCTGTGGCCAATTGTTTTAATTGGATTTACAGACCTTTGTAACTCTCTGATTGTAGAAACACGCTAAAAAAAAAAGAAAAGCAGATAGCAACACCTATACAAACTGACAACAAATCCTTGCTGAGCCTCAAAATAATCCTAAATAAATAACATAATGAAAATAAATATATTGCAATGCTCAAAACAGCAGCATCCAACAGTCTCTAATCCTTGGATATTACATGTCACTGCATGCATGCATGGAGCACCCGTAGCGCGGAGGTCATCATATCATTATGTATTGTATTACTTAACAACAAAAAAACAAAAGAAAAGTAATGTCAAGACTCAACCCTTTTCTAAACAAAAAGTCAAAAGTCTTGTCAAAGCAAGTCACAGACTCTAGTTCCAGGTCTTGTCAAAGCAAGCCAAAGTCTAGTCTCAAGTTTAGACTCAATTATCGACTAAACAAATCTAAATCTAGACTAATGTCTTGTCAAAGCAGATTCAAGTCGAGTGTCAAGCCTTTAAAAAAAAGCTCCAAGTCATATCTCAAGTCTTTTCAAAGCAAGTTGCAGTATAAACTCAAGTCTTGTCAAAGTAAGTTGCAGTCTAGTGTCAAGTCTTGTACTGTAAAAGCAAGTTACTAAAGTTAAAATCTTTAACTAACTGTGTGTGTGTGTGTGTGTGTGTGTGTGTGTGTGTGTGTGTGTGTGTGTGTGTGTGTGTGTGGGTGTGGGTGTGGGTGTGTGTGGGAACCAGGATGATAATACGGATACAATCGGGAAGCGTTTTATAATTCCTTAACCATTAATCAAACAGCCATATGTAAATACGACTGATTGCACCTTTGTCCCTGTTCACACTAAATACACATAAATGTTGCATATGATTGTAACACTTTTCTCTCTTGTCATCCACAGGAACACTGGCAATGCGTATGATGTGAACGCCACAATGGTATGAACTTCTTTACTCCTCTTCCTCTCTCTTTGTTTCCTGAATCTCTCTTTCTGTGTGTTACTGAAGACCTCACTCCAATCATGCGACAGCATCTCAATATCTGAAGGGGGTATCTATTAAAGTCCATTAGCCACCAATGAATTGGCTGATTAGCAGTAATCAGCAGGAAGAGGTGTTATAGCTTCTATCGGCCTTATTTCATTCAAACCATGCAAACCAATGGGTAAAATTAAAATAGATGAAGCCTTCAATAGAAAAGGTCTAATTATGTGAGGTTTTATATAAAATTATTAATATTGAGATATCTTTGGCTCTTAACTTGCTGTAACAAATGTACATTGCCCATCTGTGGGACGAATAAAGGTATTCTGATTCAGATTTTGCTAAAAGTATTTAGTTTTTTTTAAAGTAATTAGTGTCAGCTCAAATGACAAACATTTTAGAATGGGGAACAGATTTGTTAAGAACAATTTGATATTGTAATACAAATACTTATAATTCATGATAATAATAATAATAATAATGATGATGATGAGGAGCAGCAAATTACACATTCTGGAGATAAGGACAGAACTTTTGTGGAGACAAATGTTACACCAGTCTGAAAATACCAAATAAATATCCTTTTAAAAATCTGCTACAGATTTCATATTCTGTATAATGACAATGAAAAATATTTTTGGCTACTTAGTGAAGGGCCCTGAATAGAATGGTGCAGCAATGAGTCCTAAAATCCGCAAATAAGTCAGCATTTTACCCCTTCTGGTTCCATTGTCCCTCCCGAGGTCAACAGTATTTTTGAACGTGCTTGTGGTTAGAAGCCTGAAATAAGATCTGTGGTTAACACAAGTTTAGGAGATTTTCACGTTTTGTTCTATGACATAAATAATATCAGTAAATACCCCACTGGTTAATGTTCGAAGCCTCTACAGTATGTATCATAAAAACTTAGTTGCTAACAAGTGACTGAACAAAGTACTAAATGCATCACACAAACACAAGTCCGACTTTAGCTTAGCGCTGGTAATGCGCAGCCCTGGGCCTGTGATGTTGTTATTTTTTAGCCTAATTTTAGCTTTCTACTTCTGGCGATGCATTTACTTGAAAATCTCAAAAGTGGTATACTCTTACATTCGTGCAATATACCTAAATCCAATGGGAAATCCCATTGCTTGTTGTTGAGTCGATACGATGCTAACTTCTGGGTTAGACGACAATAATACGTCATCACTGCAACACTCTATACCTGTATATTTCTGATAGAATTAAGAGGTTAAACTTTAAATATAATGTTTTCTTTTGCACTCAGGCCACTGTATTATGCCTCTCTTAGGGTCCTGATATAACATAATAGAGGCACTCACAAGCAATGAGACGCAAATGGCAAAGTCATTAAATCAATTTCTGATAAAACACCAGAAACCAACTCCTGATAAAATGGCTCGCCAAATATTGCCGTTAATACCTGTGCGGGCATACAATTTTGCCTGAAGGTGTTTCTGGTGTTGCACTCAAGGTTATAGTGTGTTGATTGGTTAGCTTTAGAAATGCTGGTAGGTGTTTTTTCAACTTTAACTTAGATGGAGCCAGGCTAGCTTTTTCCCTGTTTCTAGACTTAATGCTAACCGGCGACTTGCGTTAGCTTCCTATAACCTTCAGTACTTACTGTACCAACATAATGTACTTATTGTACTTATTAACCCATATTTCTATTTTCTGTCTTTGTCTTTTACAGCCTGATGCAGAAAGAGGAGCCAACAGGAATGCTGGAGTCAATGGGAACGCTGGAGCCAACGGTGAGTTCTCTGCAAATACGAACACATTTTCAATCTAAAGTATGCATTTCACTTACATTTCCTCATTGACATTTCCAGACCCAGGGGACTCAACAACATGGAGGAGCCACGGAAACATGCCACCCAGCACACTACAAAGATCTCAAGCAGAGGCCAAATAACCTGCCAGTTACAGTTCTGAACAATAACCCCACAGCCACATTGCAAACACACAACAATAGACACAAGATCGCGATTTCTAAGGTAGGAAGCAGGAAAGAGGACACGTTACGCTCATCATCCCATTGCACAGAAGTTTTCCGCACTTAACCCAAGTGCACAGATGGACAGAAAATAGAGGAAGGGCAGGAGGGAATGTTGGTCCTGTCCTCTGTCAGCTCGAGCCCCGGTCGACATCTTGTCTTCATCAAATCTTTTCTGAATACAATCTGAAACGAAGAACCTCTTTTTCAAGTCTCTCATTTATGGACGACAACAATAACTTTACATCTAGAATGCAGTAAACGTCCGAAACTTTTTTGATTGTTTATCATATTTACCTTTCATTTCACAAATTAAGGAAACATGCTTATAGGCTTTCTTGCTTACAGTTATATGAGAAAATAGATACCATTTACAAATGTGTAAAAAATATGAAGCTACAGCTAGTTAGCTTTTCCGCAATTTTTTCAGTGTTTATTGTTGTAGCTTCATATCTAAGAAAAACATATGAAAGGCATATAGATGTATTTCCTTTATTCATTTTCCAGCGCCATTTTCAAACTACAGCATATTAAGGTAACGATTATGGGGTGTATTATTGATACCATTGCTGGCATCCACTTGTTTCCACTCGTATACAACATGCAAATAAAGTAGATGACTGCTAACTTATTTTCATGACTGCTAACTAATTTTCATACTGTTGGGGAAATCAGTGTAATTAAAGGACTGGACCGTAACAAAAAAATATAACAATAATGTCCAACATTTCCAAAAATGTCAGTTACAGCATTAAACATGCAAAACCATTAGTATGTTCATGTATTCTTACAATTCAATTACACTGTTACACTGCTCAATTGGATTATGGAAGATCATGAAGGAAGAAACTTGGTAGACACAAATACATTTTTATAAAATAGGATTTGTTATTACTTTTAGTGCTTTTACTATCAATGGTGGGATGGACTTCCTCTTTGTATTTGATATGCTTTTCTGTTTCTTCACGGGGGCGTAGCTTAGGTCTATGCTGTTGTATTCCCTTTATTGTAATGCTGTATGACATTCATGACATTTGTGGCTCTGTTTGTCCTAGAAACCAAGACATAAAAGTTTAAAAGCCATTCTTATCTTTCCTGTTTGTTGTGATGACATGGGATGGGCACCCAAGCCTACAGAGAATTCAAAGTAAACCAAAAGTCACCAATCCCCAAAACAGGGTGGAGCTGTCATTCTTGTAATGCCAGTTGTCAAGCCATGCGTTGCCATATTAATCTTCTGAAGTACAAATAGAACACACCCAAGTGAGACAACAGTGATGTCATAAAAAAAGCCCTATTTAATCAGCCTGTAAAAAATGTTCTGCTGTAATGTAGACAGTGTTGGTTATTCACACAACACTTTTCTTTAGTTGTTTGTTCACTGGTTCAAAACTGGTTCTAAACAGTTTGGAAAAAAGAGGATTTTTTTAGATGTCTTTATACACCAAGCAATAGATTAGCAACATTTGAATAATAAACCTCAAGACAACTGGTGTTTTTTTTAATCCCCATCATTAAATCTACTCTCTACACAGTCACACAGACCAATTTGTACCAACATTAGACAGTTATTAACATATAGTTCCAACCATTAACTTTAAGTCATTAATATTTCATTTTATAAACAATTACGTAAAGCGGCCCTATTACTGTAGGCCTGAAGGTTCCTGAAAATGAGCATAATATGTACTCTTACATTTTTGAAGATCAGAAGTGTGTAGGGTCTTAATATGGGATAACTGCAATATGATATTGTGTATATCAAGTCTAGTTTAAGATGTTACTGGTCAGTTGATAATCACTTCAGTAACTAGTTATTATTAGTTCTGTCATAACCCTTCGACAAGCATCTCATTCGAGCCATTTATAGCTTCTGATTTATGATCAGCATATACAAAAGATACAATTTAATCACAGAATTATGTATGAAATATATTATATAGTTGAGTAAAGATACTTGTGTAATCTAGTATTTATATAATTATCTTTTGATAGTGGGCTCCTTTTTGTGTATGAGTGACATCAGGCTCCAGGTGAGGCATTAGAGAGAAATAAAGTTTTCTAAACACATTATTTTACATATTTTTGGCATCTCCACCTCACATGGACAGCCAGTATAGTGGGATAGCTCAAGGATTGGTATTATCAGACTTTTATCCACTGAGAATAAAATCTCAACGATTGCATTGGTTGCTGAAACCTACTGACTTGAATTATTTCCTGATGTTTCTCTGGCTCCACCATGAGGTTGACAGAGGTATTTTTGGTGAAGTGTCTCAATAATTATTACATGGATTTGCAGTAACATTTTGTTGAAAAGTTCATGGTTCTAAGAAAATGAATTTAACCTACTTTGAGGATGAAATATGTGGTTTTGATTGGAATATCTCACGACTTAATCTATTCTAGATCAATTAAAATCATGACATTTGACATTATTGTGTATCTCAGTCTCAGGACAGCTGTCACTTTGATAATCACCTATCTTTATTTGATGTCATCTGCAGGACATTTTCTTTAAGGTCCCATGACATGGCCAGTTCTACTGGTCATAATTCCATTGTTGAGGTCTACTAGAATAAATGTACATTGTTCAATGTTCCAAAATCACATTGGTTTCTCATACAGCCTCTCTGTAAAGTATGTGTATTGATTGACTCTCCAATCCGCGGAGCTCCGCAGCGTTACGTCACTATGACCAGGAA